CATGTGTAATTCCAGATAATCCCATATTTTCCTAAAGGTGAACTGTATTTGAAAGTAGTTGCTTTATGCCCTTTCCTTATAACTTAATCATGTGTAATTCTAGAAAATCCCATATTTTCTTAAAGGTGAACTGTATTTGAAAATAGTTCCTTTGTGTCTTTTCCTTATGACTTAATCATGTCTAATTCCAGAAAATCCCATATTTTCTTAAAGGTGAAATGTGGCCTTAAACGCTAAAACCACGAATGGAAGTGAGTATCATACAAAAAATAGTTTATAGTTTCATTTCTATCAATAAAACTAATGAACTATAAGTTGTCCCGCAAACCAAAATCATTTCGTTAATCCCTACGTGAGTCGCTATAACCATGCTTGATATGATGGATATGTCTGTCATGACGTTCTTCAGGCGTCAGTTTCGGTAAGATATATGTCACCCTAGTCTGGCCCCGTCTAGCTGTAGCGAACAGCTCATGTGTGGGGGTGTCAACTCCGGATAGATCTATACACAATTACCCCGCTCTCCCTCTAGGAGACTCTGGTTATAACTACAGGACTTACGGTGTACGCTAGGTAGGTACGGTGAAGGGAAGTCTCACAAGAGCATTAACAAGTTTACGTCCATTTACTCGCGAAATAAGATAATTATACCTTATAATAATTATACGTATTTTCGAAAGGTGTGGTTTGTAATTTCCAAACTATGCCAATTATAGTTTATCTTTCGGTAAAAGTTCCCAAAAACCATATAGTTTTACAGCTTTATGACATACAGCTTATTATTTATGCAGTATAAATATTATGACATCCCGTTTATGACACGCATGATTTTCCTGTCATAAAACTGTTTTAGTGATATACGCTTAAATAGTTTTATGACATGCAGTTTATGACACGCAAAGTTTCCTGTCATATATCGCTTTTGGAAAAGCTTTTTGGTTGTACTTTTTATAACACTTTTCATAAAAAAATCGTTAATGTATGTATATAACGTGATAACTTGGGTTCTAAACATCAAAATAAAGACTACAAAATTTGATCATTTCGACTAGAAAAGTTTACTATTAGCAAAATTTCCAAATTTTTAGTTTTTAGCATATCATATTTTATTGTTGATACTTGTTTCACATAGGGAGTTTTATTCTTGTACATCAACTTATATACACGATTTTTGAGTATATATAAAAGTGTTAAGCACAACTTATGCAAGAATCATTATACTTTCAAATAATAAGGATAAAACTAGCATATATTCATAAGATAAACATGGTTTTGACTTGTATTCCCCCTCCCCCCCCCCCCCCTAAAAGCATTAAAAACTTGAAAAGATCGGGGGTACCTCACTTTGGTTTGGTTTGGTGGATGGTTTGAAGATCTTCAAGTCTAAGCACTTGAATGGTTTGATGATGTTCTTGGTGTTGTTGTTATCCTAAGGTTTTTAACACATAATAATATGTGTGAATGATATGAAACTAACATAAATGTGTGTGTGTGTGTATATATATATATATATATATATATATATATATATATATATATATATATATATATATATGGACACTTAATGGATTAATGGATCACGAAATGCTTACCAACTCCAGGAATGAGCTTGAGGATTGTGACACAATTACAACTTCTTGTGTTAACATCATTTGATCCTTGTTTGATTGCATTGTTTACCTAAGACTTATTGCAGCTTGAACTCCAATTTATTTTTCAAACTTTGCCTTGCTAAACTTGTTTACTTTCAAGAGGTTACCTTATATGTGATTTCTAAAGTGTATACTTCCATATACAAGAACCTATTCCCTTTTGGTTTTCAAGTTTTTCATTGTAATAGGGTTACAATTTAGACCTTGCTTGATCCAAATATTTCGGGTTGTCACAGTTTGGTGTTTGCTTTTTGATCTTGTTTCTTCCATCATCAGAATTTTCCAAATTGTATTAAGCAATTTCGAGTATCTCGTGCAGGAATTAGGATGGGGGATATGGATTCAGTCGTGAAGTTATTTTTTCGAGCCTGTATGGTTATTGTCAATGGCATCAGAATAAAATAAACACAAGTTTCAATTATGTTATGCAATTTCCATATTCTTATTTTTATTATTTGAAGATATGGAAATTTTTACAGGTTTAAAAATGGGTTTGAGCATGATATTTTTTATATATGATCGATTAATGCTTTTAAGACTGGAATTTTGAGAATTCCTACGGATTTGGTTTATGGTAAAATTTGGATATCATAGGTTCCTAATATGGGTCTCAATCTCAACTATATAATATCCAAATCTTTGAATATTTGCGAGTGCAACTAGAGTATCATCAAGTAATTTAAACATCAATAATAATACCTTGAATTCTAGTCATTAAAAGACAATACATGTGGATCTCCAAACATTGCAACGTGAATTAATATGCTTAATGCGGAAATAAACTACATTGCCCTGGTAATTCTTTATAAAGTGATTAATATTTGCTTGAATTGGAAAACCTCTTTTTACATTAATTTCCACTTTAAGAAAATGTGAAACCAGTTTATTTGGTTAACCTAAAAAAACCTTTATATTGATCGAATTAATCCATAGAAACATCTGTACTATTACATAAATAAAACCCATCGAAAGTTCATGAAAGTAATTCAGGAGCAAATATACACCAAATACCATTCTATGAACTACAATATCCACTATTACCTCCCATGATAGAAATTGCAAAATGAGCAAGAAGTTTGCCGATAATTAAGAAGCACACAATCTTTCCAAATTAGAATTTGTGTATCTCAAAATCTAGTATGTATCCGCATGCATATAAAAAATCTCGACTAACATAGACGGGATTGTTCCTAGTTAATGACATTTTTTTAATCTAAAAAGTCGTGATATTTCAAAGATTTTGATTTTTCAATTGCATAGTACTTGAAACTTGGAATACACAAACATATAGATATGTTTGTCAATCTTAGTTGCATCTTCCTTTTTCAAATGACGTGACAACATTGTTTTGTAACTCCACTGGAACATAATTAATTTTAAGTTAAACAAATCAAACTTGTCATTACAATATCGGCATGAAAAGGCTGTCAAAGTGATGAATGTAGGCACACAAATTGACGGGAATTGGCCAAGAATAATAGCATCTGAAAGAAGATATTATCCATCAAAATAAGGAGTTTTCCCTTGTGGGGAATCTTATGGGTGGCTTACTTGTGGTACATCAAATTCAAATCGTAGGAAAATTAGAAATATTGCAAACGAATGTTACAGACTTCTCATTATTAGTGTTTAGCTTACTATTAAGGAGAAGATAACATCATTCGACAAAAATTATATGTAAATATTTGTAACTTTGAAGTGGCAATAACAAGGAATTAAGAATGCTATTTTCGAGGATTGAAGTAGTTCCCAATTTGCAAAATTTATTTTCGAGGATTGAAGATAAGTCTTTTTCATCCTTCTGGGATTTTATTCAAGAACTGTGTGATGTGAATTGAAATAGTAAATTAAAAAAAAAAGTAGTTGAAATAACAAAAACCCATGAGCATGATCACCTGTTGATGAACAACATTTGAAACTAATTTGTAAAGTATCTGCCGACCACGAGGAGAGAAAACGACAGAGCTAACTTCTATAAACGGGGAGTCGACAAGGAAAAATGGGTGACATTAAGAGGAGGATTGGGGTTTTTCATGGTTTGTAATGAATGTTACGATAATTTCAATGAAACCTCATTTTATTGATTATACATTTCCTCCCAAATATTATTTAATTAAACCAATATCATTATTACGAACAAGCAAACTATATTGCATCCCGACTCAATTTTGACTACGGGGTGTTTGGATCCCCACCTAATTTTAATATGTGGACCGCATTCTAAAAAATAATTTTAAATCGGGCTAAAATTGTAAAAGTGGCATGCCAAATCGATCAAAAGAATAGAAATTAGGCTAAATCTATAAAAAGAAAAAAGGAAAAACATTATAGGGATATATGTTAATATAGCAAATAAAAGATCTCAGAAGCACCTACAAATTTGGTCTTGGTGGTTTACAAAAAACTATAGAAAGAGACTAACAAGTTTTTTCTTGCATGGAAAGTCCAAAATAAATTTTTTTTCTTGGCTTTCCTCTTAAAAAAATTGAAAATACTACTTTACCCTTTTAATGAGAGAAATTTAAGAAAATTAGTTTCAGAAAAAAAAAAGTTCAAGGACCAACGTTCGAATCCAGGTGTATCGCCTTATAACAAGGCTACAAACACGAACCATTGAACTATTCATTAGTTTTCAGCACACCAAAATAGTATGATACCTTTCTTTTGTAACTTAATTTTTATGTAGGTCCTTTATACGTGTATGTTTTACGTTAAAATTTTGTTTTATTTTACTTATATGTAGCCACATACATAAGTGTAGTTATTTATTAAATTACTTTCCTTCAATTTTTCTCTGTCTTATTAGAAAAAGGGTTAATCATCATCTACTAAGCAAACACATCAATTAAATTATTTATGATAAAAGAATATTATATAAAAGAATACATTGAATATTAGAAGTCCAGAACACGTGAACATGAAATTGTTTTAACAAGCGGTACACGATGACTAATGGATAAATGGACAAGGGGTGAAAGTGAAACCCAAATATGATTAATTTTTTTAATGGGTTAATAGTAAATAATTTTTTAAAAAATAGATAAAGTTAATACAGTCCTTTCATGACCTTAATGAATAACTAGGACCAAAACAGTACTGAAAATATGAGAAATTAAATATTCCTCATAAAATTTGTTCCTATCCCATGTTAAATGTTGAAATGTGTCAAATTAAATGAAATTAAAAGTATACTAATACACTTGTCACCATTTAACATGGGTAGGAGGACATATAGTAGGAAAAGTTATGAGAATATTTAATTTCTTTAGATATATATAAAAAGGAGGATCCAAGAGTTAAACAAGAGTTTGGGGACCAATAGTGTAGAATACCCGAAACTATAAAGACCATTAATGTAATTTACTCTTATTTATATAAAAAATAGATTACATGTTATCATATGTATAACATGTATTTTAATTACATATATCATGACATATCTCATACCCTTCTATGCATATTACTACTGGTGGCCCAATACAACAATAACAACTTTTTCTTGTTCCATGGCATCTTGTTGATGGACTTGGCATACAAAACCCCGTCAACTTGTGATCATGAAATGGGTCATCAGAATCTAGAGTAGATGGTGGTGGACTTATTTTACTTGAATTGGTCTGCATCATTGCAATTTCGATGTTTTTTTCACCATTGTTGCTCCCATCAATAGCTGCATACACGGACGCGTTACAAGAAATATAATGCATAAACGAAGCTTTTCCAAAAATTAAGATTTAAAAGATTGATGGTCTATACTTTTTAAATTTTATATAAAATATAGAAGATGATTATTGGGAGATATAACATCTTTATAAATATTTTTCAGAGTATATTTTATTTTAGACTTTAATTTAAATAAGTTTTATGAAACTCGGGTACTTATATATATATATATATATATATATATATATATATATATATATATATATATATATATATATTCAAATCCTCAAGGGATTAACAGAATAATTAACTCACACATGATAAGAAGGCTAAGAACAAAGAACATGAGTAGAAATTGCATATTCATGAACATCCTTACACGGTAGGTGATCTCAAGAGTTGGTGGTGAACATATTTATACGAAAATTATCATAATTAAGAGTTCAAATAATTGGAGCGATTTACACTCTATGTCTAAGAATCCTCCATAATTACTAAAGATTTTGAGTACAATTGAATTCATATGTTTCTATTTATATTGATTCCAACGAGTTTGGTACTAATATTATTCAAACAAAGTGTTCGAATAATGGGAGCGATTAGCACTCTATCTCTTGGAATCCACCATAATTAAAAAAGATTTTTAACCAATTGAGTTCATATGTTTCTATTTATTTTGACTCCAATGAATTTGGTACACTTCATAACAATGGAAAGATTTTCATTTTCCCAAAAGTGAAAATTATTTTTCAGGTGGTTTTGTGAAATCCTATAAGATATCTTATAATTATAACAAAATAAATATATTTAAGGGTAGAGTTTTCCTAAAATTCAAAGTTTATTTTGAAGTAGATTAGTGGTGTATTTGGCATATTCAAAGTTTCTTTCCAAATTAGATTAGAGATAAAAGTTACCAAACGAATTTGGATTGAGCTTGTCGAGATCTCTCTCATTTGTGCCGGCTTCAAATTTCTTTTCATTGATTACTATTTTTGTTTTTGTCGTTTTCATGTGTACTAGTTTTATCTACTTTTTCTGTCTACCAAAAATGTAGTGGAGATAGATGTATTGAACCATGGCATTGATCTGTCCATGGCATTGATCTGTCTAAATGTGTCGATTTGCTAGCTAATTTGGATCACATAAATATAGGTGATAGGATCAAGATGGAATCAAAAACTTGGTCCTTTACTTCTGCAAATCCGTCTACTATTTGCTCGCCTCGGTTACTCCTGCCCTTTTTTGTGGTTCTCTTTGTTAACCTCCTCTGACCACATCGCTCCCCTCCTCTTCCATTTCTTGCCCCCACCAAGAACATGGCCTTCCTACAATGACATCCGACAAAAAATCTTTAACACTAAAAATCAGTATCACAACTTTTATCTCTAATTCTAGTCATGGGTCTTATTTTGTTTTGATACTTCCAGAATTCATTTTTTGTGACTATGTTTGGGGTTTGCTTTTTGATTTTATTTCTTCTATCATCAGATTATTTCTGAATGGTATTTAGCAATTTCGAGTATCTCGTGCAGGAATGAGGATGGGGGCGTGGATGCAGTCGTGGATTTATTTCTTGGAGCTGGTATGGTTATTATTTGAAGATATGGAAATTTTTACAGTTTCTTATTTTTATTATTTGAAGATATGGAAATTTTTACAGGTTCAGAAATGGGTTTGAACATGATATATTTTATATATGATCGATTAATGGTTTTAAGACTGGAATATTGATCAGATTAACCCATAGAAACATCTGTACTATTACATAAATAAAATCCATCGAAAGTTCATGAAAGTAATTATGGAGAAATTATACACCAAATACCATTTTATGAACTACAACATCCACTATTACCTCCCATGACCAACAATTACAAAATTAACGAGAAGTTTTCCGATAATTAATCTTTCCAAATAAGAATTTGTGTATCTCAAGATCTAGTATGTATCCGCATGCATATAAAAAACCTCGACTAACATAGACGTGATTGTTCCTAATTAATGATATCTTTTTAAAGTAAAAAGTCGTGATATTTCAAAGATTTTGATTTTGCAACTGCATTGTACTTGAAACTTGGAAGGTAAATGTACATTATACACAAACATATAGATATGTTTGTCAATCTTAGTTGCATCTTCCTTTTTTCAAAATGACGTGACAAGATTCTTTTGTAACTCCATTGGAACATAATTAATTTTAAGTTAAAGAAATCAAACTTGTCATTACAATATCGGCATGAAAAGGCAATCAAAGTGATGAATGTAGGCACACAATTTGAGGGGAATTGGCCAAGAATAATAGCATATGAAAGAAGATATTATCCATCAAAATAAGGAGTTTTCCCATGTGGGGAATCTTATGGGTGGCTTACTTCTGGTACATCAAAATAAAAACCGAATACAACTTTCATGCAAATCGTTGGAAGATTAGAAATATTGCAAACGAATGTTACAACCTTCTCGTTATTAGTGTTTAGCTTACCATTAAGGAGAAGATAACATCACTCGAAAACAATTATATGTAAATATTTGTAACTATGAAGTGGCAATAACAAGGAATTAAGAATGGAATTTTCGAGGGTTGAAGTAGTTCCCAATTTGAAAAAGTTATTTTCGAGGATTAAAGATAAGTCTTTTTCATCCTTCTGGGCTTTTATTCAAGAACTGTGTGCTGTCAATTGAAATAGTAAATTAAAAAAAAGTAGTTGAAATAACAAAAACCCATAAGCATGAACACCTGTTGATGAACAAACATTTGAAACTATTTTGTAAAGTAACTGCCATCCTAATTCTACAAGATATTGGACAAAGCAATGCCGACCAGACAAAAAAGGACGACGAGAGAAAACGACAGAGCTAACTTCTATAAACACAGAGTCGACAAGGAAAAAAGGGTGACATTAAGAGGAGAATTGGGGTTTTTTCATGTTCTTTCATGGCTTTTCATGAATGTTACGATAATTTCAATGAAACCTCATTTTATTGACAATACATTTCCTGCCAAATATTATTTAATTAAAACAATATCATTATTACGAACAAGCAAACTATATTGCATCCTGACTCAATTTTGACCATGGGGTGTTTGAATCCCCACCTAATTTTAATATGTGGACCGCATTCTAAAAAATAATTTTAAATCGAGCAAAATTTGTAAAAGAGGCATACAAAGTCGATCAAAACAATAGAAATTATGCTAAATATATAAAAAGGAAAAGGAAAAACATTATATGGATATATGTGAATATAGCAAATGAAAGATCTCAAAAGCACCTACAAAATTGGTCTTCGTGGTTTACAAAAAACTATAGACAGAGACTAAAAAGTTTTTGCTTGCATGGAAAGTCCAAAATAAAAGTTTTTCTTGGTTTTCCTCCTAAAAATTTGAAAAGACTACTTTTCCCTTTTAAAGAGAGAAATTTAAGAAAATTTGTTTTAGAAAAGAAAAGTTCAAGGACCAGCATTTGAATCTAGGTGTATCGTCATGCTTAAAGTAAGGCTACAAGCACGAACCATTGAACTATTCATTAGTTTTTGCACACCAAAATAATTTGATACCTTTATTTTGTTACTTAATATTTATGTAGGTCCTTTATACGTGTATGTTTTACGTTAAAATTTGATTTTAGTTTTCTTATTAATATCTACATAAATAAGTGTATTTATTTATTAAAGTAGGTTCCTTAAATTTATCTTTGTCTTATTTGAAATAAAGGTTAATCATCATCTACTAATCAAACACATTAATTAAATTATTTATTATAAAAGAATATTATATACAAGAATACAATGAGTATTAAAAGTCTAGAACACATGAACATGAAATTGCTTTAACAAGAGGTACACGATGACTAATGGATTAAATGGGCAAGGGGTAAAAGTGGAACCCAAATATGATGAATTTTTTTTATGGGTTAATAGTAAATAATTTTTTTTAAATAGATAAATTTATTACAGTCCTTTCATGACTTTAATGAATAACTAGGACCAAAACGGCAGTGAAAATATGAGAAATTAAATATCCTCCTAAAATTTGTTCCTATCCCAATATAAATGTTGACATGTGTCAAATTAAATGAAATTAAAAATATACGAATACACTAGTCCCCATTTAACATGGGTGGGAGGATATATAGTAGGAAAATGAATGAGGATATCTAATTTCTTTAAAAATATATCAAAAGGAGGATCCAAGAGTTAAACAAGAGTATCGGGACCAATAGTGTAGAATACCCGAAACTACAAATATCATTAGTGTAATTTACTCTTATTTATATAAAAAATAGATTATATGTAATTATATGTATAACATATATTTTAATTACATATATCATGACATATCTTATAGCCTTCTATGCATCTTAGTACTGGTGGCCCAATACAACAATAACAACTTTTTCTTGTTTCACGGCATCTTGTTGATGGACTTGGCATACAAAAACCCGTCAACTTGTTATCATGAAATGGGTCATTAGAATCTAGAGTAGATGGTGGTGGACTTACTTTACTTGTATTGGTCTTTATCATTGCAATTTCAATGTTTTTTTCGCCATTGTTGCTCCCATCAATAGCTGCATACACGTTCACGTTAGTGGAAATATAATGCTTAAATGAAGCTTTTCCAAAAATTAAGATTAAAAATATGGATGGTCTATAATTTTTAAATTTTATAGAAAATAAAGAAAATGATTATTGGGGATATAACATCTTTAAAAATCTTTTTCAAAGTATATTTTATTTTAGACTGTAATTTAAATAAATTTTATCAAACTCGGGTGTTATATATATATATATATATATATATATATATATATATATATGATACCCGCGCGATGCAGCGGCGGCGATACGTTTTTTGGGCGATTATTTTCAGACAGATATTACTATTTTTTTCGGCAAACTGTTTTGGATAAAATTAAAAATTTTTGATGAAAATTCGGCAACCGGTAATTAGTTGCGATTAGTTTGATTTTGTAGATGCATGATAAGTTTTCGGAACGAAATATATTCGTAATTAGTTTTATTTTTTGAGAGCGTATCACATTCCATAGAGCATACTACATATCGGAAAGTATAATTATAAATTTATAAATATTATATATCTATGACATATGTATCATTATAAATTATAAACGTTGATGATATTTTGAACGAATTTAAAATTTGTTTCTTCGTAATTTATTTTGAAGGAATTTAAAATTTTGTTTTTTGTTAAAATAAATTTATATCAATTACTAAAAATTTACTTGCGATGATGTTTACAAACGACAATTACTATTTACTATATTAACACGTATTACTCTATTAAATATCATTAATAAACAAATTAATATATCTAAAAAACTTTTTATAGTAACTATAAGATGGTTCGAAAACACAAA